TGGTTTATCGACCCCCTCTACCTTTCTACCTACTATAAGCTCCTAACCGATAGGCTTTGAGGCTATTTGGATTGTGAAATGGAGGATTTTAATAGGTTCAAACATCGAAGGATTCAGAGGCTACCTACTTTCCGGTTCTGTTCAATGCTACATGAATTGGATTTAGAAGAACCATCGTTTCGAAACTTTCATGCGTTTTATCTGTTTGGTTTTTTAATTTTTTTTGATTATGCAAAATAACTTTTTATGCACGGGGTGGTGGTGTACTATTCTTGTTTTTACGTTGTTAAATTATTAGTGTTAATGTTTTTGATGCTATTTGTCGTAAGACGCTTTTACTATGCATGGAGTGGTGGTATACTGGTTTTTAATTTGCAATCTTAAAATACTAGTTGTGTTAATGTTGTTGTTATTTGACTTAAAACAGGACCTTCAATTTCACTGTTTTTAATATAAAGTAGTTGGTATCTAGTTTTTTCTGAGGATATCGAATTACTGCTGTTTCTATACCTTAATGATAAAATCTATTATTGAAGAACCTTGCGTCCTTTTTATCCACAAATAGAAAGGAGAATAGGAATTAGGTGAACGTATTCTCGTGGAGCATCGCATCTGGTCTGCAAATAATTTGCAAGAGCTATCTTGATTTTTAAGAAGCGTCAAGACCTGATTTCTTAAAGCTTTAAACATGTCTTGGAAGTAATACTTGGAATGGTTCGATTTTTTCTATTCAAAATCTGATTTCCAGAATAACCATCTTGAATTGAATGTTGACAGCAGTTTTGGTTGATTTTAACATAGTTTTATGGTGCTCGTTAACTGTCTGACCATAATTGTAATTCTTGCTGTAGGCTTGTGATCATAATAAAGTAAATGGCAGTGATATTACATATGCTAATGGCAATGTAACAAATTCGCATGAGGTGAAAACAGCGTCATTTACAAAGGTTAAAGCTAGTGAAATAACTTGTATGCCTTCTAACATTGACATTCATGAATGGGGAGAAACAAGCATCCCCAACACCTCATCCAGAACTGCTAGCAGCTCTAGCCATAATTCTTCAACCCATTCCTTGAACCCTACAAGTCATTTCCTTTCTCAGCTTAGCCTCATTCCAGGTAGTGTAAGCTTCAGACTTAGCCGAACCACCAGTTTGGGGTCATCAAGGCCTTGTCCTGTTTCTTCTGCAAGTCTCTCAACAATTGACAATGAAGATGAGTGTAATCTCCACCCTAGATCTCCTGGAAGTTCGATTAACAGAAGAGAAGCACTACAAGGCAATGACCTGCTTCATGCATCTGTTTTCAATCAAATACATGTACAATCTCATGAAGATGCTTCTAGTAATTTAAGGTCTAGTGTCCTTACATCAGGTACACTTGGAAACTTGCAGAGAAATCTCACAGATGGAGTTCCCATAAGAGAAGGGCTGGATGTGAACTTATTTTCTCCAAGAATTCAAACAGAGACAGAAATTGATGACACTAGAAATATTGATCAACGAAATGGTGCTCGAGAATCAGTTGAACAGAATGTTCATTTTAGCCGAACTTTAAGTGTTGGAAGACTTCATGACAGAGTTCTTCGTAGAACAACATTTTCAGACCTCACCTTTTTCCCTTTGCAGCAGGAAAGAGAGCTGAGAGATGCTAGCCACCATAGCCAGGATATTGACAGGCAATCGCTGGAGGGAGATTCAAGAGTGTCATCATCTGATCACACGACCGTTAGTTCTTCTACATCTAGCATGTCTAACTCCATGTTTGGTATCCAAGACTACGAGGATGATACTTCACGATTGAGAGAAGTTAGGTATCAGGATCTTCTGGAGCATAGGTCCAATTTCCTTGAACGGAGAAGAAGAATGCGGTCCCAGGTTTGTGGATTTTGAACTTTGAGTAACTATTAGTGATTTGATAATGTAGTAACAAACTAACCAGCAAAATTCAGTCTTTTTGTTAAAACAAAAGAAGAAAATCCACAATCCAAACGCGTCAAAGTGATGAAATTGATAATTTATGTTGTTGTTATTAAATCATAAATCTTTAAACAAGCAGAAGGAAAAGTAAGACTCAAGGAAACTTATTTATAAGTATCCATACCCGACATATTTCCTTTACTTATTTGCATGTAATATTATTTAGGTTCGTGCTCTTCAGCGGTTGGGTAGCCGGTTTGAAAATCTTTCTGGACATGATAGATCATGTATCTTGTCTGGTCAACATAGAAATGGGCATTGTACATGCCGAATCAATAATCGAAACACTAATTCAAATGATGATACCGGTGCCAGAGCTAGCATATCAAGAATTGTTATGCTTGCTGAAGCCTTATTTGAGGTAATTTTAATGTTCTATTTAATTACTTCGATTTCAAATGATAATAAACTTAAGCAATTTGAATCTTTTGTACATGTTTGAATTAGGTTCTGGATGAAATTCACCAGCAATCTGTTGTTTTATCTTCCCGGCCATCTGTATCTTGTAGTGGATCTGTTCCTGCGCCTAATGATGTTGTTGATTCCTTGCCTGTCAAGTTATATGAGAAGTTGCACAAGCATCAAGAGGACGGTGCTCAGTAAGTCTTTTAGTTTACCACTACTCGGTGTCTAGTTTTTTCAGTGCGTTTTAGGATTTTCCATTTCTGCTTTTATTCCCTTTTGTATTGGTAATTTTGGTTTTGGAATTTATAGATTCTCTTTAGTATTATTTACAACATAACGTGAGAGAACATAAAAATAATAATTTGCATAACAATTATTAGGCTTAGTTAATTATAATATTTGTTCCTTTATAGTAGTCAATGTGTGATATTATCCCCTAGTCAATGTAATAGAATTGACTATATAATCTAACATAAATGACAATATTCTAATGCAACTGTTAATTTAATGAACTTTCCCAAAACAAAAAAGAAGGTAAAAAAGACTGTCAGAAGGCCACTGGTTTTGGTTACAGTACAGATTTTTGCATGTTAGAAGTTTTACATGACTGGAAGAAAATACTACATGGTACAATGATACCTGGAATTTTGATGCTTAGTTTGTGCAACTTGTTATCACTTTTACAGCATCTGCAAGTATTAGATACTATAGAGGTATATTACATTTTTCAACTCTGCTAATCCGTTTTTTTTTTCACAGATGCTATATATGCCTCGTGGAGTATGAGGATGGAGACAACATGAGAGTACTTCCATGCCATCACGAATTTCATAGAACATGTATAGACAAGTGGCTGAAGCAGATTCACAGGTATGAGAAAATTTGATTGGGTTTTCTGGATCACTCACTATATTGGTAAATTAAAGCTTCAAATTTGTACAAACTACTTCTGTTCCATTTAATCGAGCCAATTTACTGCTGTATTGTATCTATGCATAGATAAATGAGCTCTACAGTTTTTGTGCACAAATAATGGAATGTAATGATGGCAGAAATTAGATATTTGCATATTATGAGCTGGTTAAGATTCTACAATGGCAAAATATAGTAAATGTTGTAGCATCTCATGTTATGAGCCTTAGTATCAGTACAATGTATTATTTAAGTGCCAATTACCATTGGTTACTTTCAGTGGACACTTCTACCTGTTCTATTGTTTCCAAAACATAATTAAGGGTGCAGGTGGATAAATTTGTTCATGAATAAGAGTTTTTTGCAGTTATTAAGAAGTATATCCAAATAAAGAGACTTAGAATGTTTCTGACTTTAATGATATTATGCACAGGGTATGTCCACTTTGTAGAGGAGACATATGCATATCCGATTCAACGCCAACAGAGAACAAGAGTGTGTAGTTGTTGATGAATATCTGTTTTGGAGCATCCACTGTCACTTGCACTTTCTGCTGGCTGTCATTGTCACTGTTCTCAATCATCATTCGCTCCTATAGCTCAATACACATCAAATTCATGGTAGTGATGAAATGAAATGCTTAAGGGTGAGGGGAAAAGATAGATTGAAGAGGTGTAAAAAAGTGGTCACAAAGAAAAGGGACAATCCTCAAATATATATACTTTTAAGAGAAGGGGATAAATTTTTCCAAAACCATGATTTTTAAAAGTTCTATTCACTTAGATTTTAATATAACATTCTTTCTGAATCTCATTTATATAATTCTAAATCGATATGATACATACAGTTTTCAAAGTATACTACAATGTAAATCATTTGATAATATTTGTTATTATTGTCCAATTTTATATAGAGCAGAATTGATATAACTGTACTCTTCAAACCATATTAAAATATAACTCATTTGATCATTTTCTTATTGGTCAATTTTAATAACTGATGATCTGAAATTGTAACATAACTATTGGATTTATATAATTATTTTTTATATAAAATTATTAAATGTGATATTTAATAAAAGTTTTACCCGATTAATTTAACCTCTCTTAAGTGAGTTTTCTTTAATGTTATATTATTTAATATTTTTTTATTCAATCATACTTTCTTATAAATAATTATTAGATTAAAAGTTCTATTCAAGTGGTCCCAGGTTTTCTTAGGAGGTAGAAAGAGAATGCAGATTATTAACCATTTGAGGATCAATAGAAGCAAGGATCAAAGAAGAGATATTGAGGGAAGTAGGAGTAGTTGTATTCTCTTCTATAAATAATACATTCTCAACAACAGTTCTTAATAACAAATTTAATACAATTCTTAATTGATACAGGATAACAACAGAAATTTAATAATACTTAATTATTAGGCAAAGTTTATTTAGCAAATAAAAGGAAACAATTCATAATCATAATAGTGGATCTCTAATCAGATCCAAGCCTGTCGACTGATACATGTGATCATGAAATATCTAAGCTCAAATTGCATAAAATCCTATGATCTTTAACTTGGAAATGATTTAAAAGAAATGTAATAAAGACGCTCGAATTACCCAAAATTCACTAGAACTATCAAAATCATGCATGAAACTCAATACACAGATACCAGAGCTCGAATAATTTGTCAAATCCAGTAAATTTGACCAACAAGTGTTTTGAAACATCCCTCGTCCTTTAAGTATTCAATTGCTAGCCTAGCCATGAAGAAACTCGGATATACAATCACAATCTACAACTATAATTGTTGTGGACAAGATATAAAATTCCTAGGCAACAAAAGAACCCAAAATTTATAAGGCAAACCTGTCAGTCTGCTTCTTTTAATACCACCTGTATGGTAATAACAGTATTCATCATTTACAAAAGCCACAGTGAGGAATTTTTTAGGAGAATTTTTACAAGTTTCTACCCATGCACCACAATCGACGGCTTGGAGTGGCAGTTATAATGTTGGCACTGGCCTCAGTAGGTGGGAGTTCTATGTCAGAAGTACTGCCACAACTGGAACGACCATGCTGTCCTTCTGTCTCATTCATCTTGTCTATTAAAGAGTGTCTTATACTTGAACCAACCACCCAAGCTTCAGAGAGATTTGTCCCAGGAGAGTGACCTATTGAGATAGGTGAATTGGGATTGCTGAAAGCATCCTCCTGCAATATGTCTCCTATTCTAGACAGTATGCTAAATGCTAAACTTCCAAGAACTCTAGAGTATGCTTCCAATATGGAATGCCCAATATCCTACAAAAAGTTGTTAGAAAGAAGTTAATACTATAAAATTTTTGACATGGAGTTTTTATTTTGTGGTGGAAGAAGAACATATGAACAGTGTTGTGAATAAGTGGATAAAACAGACATGTAAGCATGACTAGGAAACTTTTCCCGCTCAGAATGACTTTGAAATAATTACTATCAAACTTACCTTGCCATATTGAACTTTTGCAGCATCCAGAAATGTTTGAGGAAGGTTTGGATGTCTGGTCTTAAGCAGATTTAGAAGTTTTTCTGCACGTTCCAACAGTAGTTCCATCTTCTCTATACCTGACACAGGGTCCTTCAGGAAGGACCATGAGGTTCGAATCGGAGATTTGCCACTACTTTCCTGTATGATTCTTTCTTTCCATGAAAATGTAGCTGCTTCCAATTTATTAATGGTCTCTAGGATAGCATGTTCAGATTTCAAATTGAGAGCTTTAAGCATTTCTTCTCCAAAAATCGATTCAGCCATCAAAACCTTGTGCAGTTCCTCTCCCAGGCTTGCCTTTCCACTCTAAAACACAAACAGATTTAATTAGAATAAGAGAAACAACAACTGAAAAAGACCAAAAATCATTGTGATTGCTATATTTCTTGATCAAATTGGGTACGGCATTGTTATCATGTTGTTTCCAACCATCTATAATGGAAAGCAGTTTGCTTGAGGCTAGAAGCATAAAACTTCAAACATTCAAAGTTGATTACCTTCAGAAGTGCATTCTTAATTACTGATGGCACGGGTATCTCAAGCAACATGTTATCATTGATTGATTTGGCAGCCTTGAATATTTGATGAACTATCCTTCCCTGATGAAGCAGCCTCTTTCTTTCAACTTCAGAAAGTCCAGTTCTTGGTACTCGTGGTGATGGAAGCCACCATCTTTTGCTCTGTCTTCCAGTCGTGTTCCTCCCTTCTGACCGGCTTCCTTCCTCCGCATACCAAAACTCGGTATTCACCATCGAGTCTAGTGTTTCCTGTGTGAACAGAAGACCACAAAATGTTACAGGCTAATAACACAACACAATGTTTCATGGTCTTAAATGAGAATGAAGAGATGACCTACAATAAGCATTGAGTCCAGTTTCTGAAGTGCTGGAAGATTCATTTGAATGTCTGCACGGGCTTTTGGGGTCATTATCTGTTCAAAGATAATTTCTACCTTATTTTTTCTGTAATGTGATATGTATGAAAATATTCAACCCAGTTCAAAAAAAAGATACCTCAAAGATCCCACCATTGGCACCATTTTGCTTTGCAGGAACTAACTCGACCATATAGTTAGTAGGTAACAACAGCCATCCCATTTCTCTTTGCCATTTGCTCTTCCTTTCTTCAGACAGTGGTTCCAATTTCCACAACTCACCAAAAACCGTCACTGCATATTTTCATCTTACTTTCAAATTTTCTTAAAAAAGTAATTTTGCAAACTACATGTACTTTTTATTTATGAGACCAAAAGATAAGTGTAAAAAAGTGCTCATAAAGTAATTGCAACCTGCAAGGCTTGTGATAGCAGTAGACAGTGCTAAAGCTGTGTTGAGGCCTTTTGATCCTCCTGTAATATCTCCACCAAGCAAAAGCTTTGCAAACTTCTCCTTCATGGCTTCTACATCTGAACTTTGAACGTCAAAGGCAGACTTGTGTTTCAGATAAAAATTCGGAGGGCTTTCTGGGAGTTCCCACTCTTCCAACCCTTGTTCATCTCTTTTCATGGTCAAACATTTTGAAGAGAATGATCCAAAAGCATCTTTACTGGATGAACAGCAACTGGAGTCATCATCATTGAATGAATCAGTTATACATCCATCTCCTCTACTCGTTATGCTTTCATCTCCACAAGAACGATTATCCGAAGGGAAACTCTCAAGGCCATTATATGTCACAACACCTGAAACATTATAAATTCATTTTAATAGCAGTATATACAACATCCAAATCCTCAACACCAAAATGAGAATCTATCAGGGAATGTTAAAAAGGAAAGAATACATCAACAAAGTACCATATGAAGTAATGCAAAACTGGAAACATTTCAATACCATGATTACAGAGAAGCATTTCTAGAATAAAAATGATTTTTTTTTTTCTAAAGATCACTGTTGGTTGATACTGTGAAAATCTGTCTATTTTCTCTACATATTCAAGCAAACACATACTACATCAGAACCATAACTGAACTTACATCGCAACATTTTACAAGACTCACATGCAAGACTCATCATTTACCGTGTATTCCACATTGCATTTTCAGCTAATATTCTATTTTTTTTAAAAGCAAGTTTCAAGTCATGTGAATATTTTTGTTTTGAATATTCAATAATTCTTTTCCTAATATTGGTACCTAACAAATTGAATATTTTGGTTTAAATCTTTTTGTTGTATATGGTAAAATGAAACACAAACTTGTGACACCAGTGAAAATTTTGTTATAGATTTATATACATTAATTATCACAATTTAAGTCATTCTTTTATTGAATTGGATAACCAAAGGAAAATTATTTATTAAATTGAGTGCGAAACTGATGATGAATAGCATGCTGAGAGACAAAAAATTCTGAATGGAAAACAGAGTTCTCGGTGATATGACAGAAAAGTACCCAAAAACTACTTCCAATTCAAATGGGAACAAAATAAAGATAATAAAAAGAGGATGATATAGTGAAATCAAAAAAAGGAAAGAGAATCCCCACACATGGGTCCCCATACAATACAAAGAAAACATTACAAATTTATGCTTGATTTTTCATTTTTGTTTTCTGCTACCCTAATGTCTGGATCATGGAGATGTATGCTTTTATTAAGTTTTGATGGATTCATTTAATCAATGGATGATTGTAATTTAAATATTTGTTTAGAGTTTTATATTTCAATTAAGTTTTTTTCTTTAAATTTTTTTAAAATAAATTAGATAAGAAAATGTGAATAAATAGTTGAAAATCAACTTTACAACAACTAACGTTTGAGTAACTATGACAATGACAATAACACTTTCCTTTTTATTTATCTATCTTATCTTTGCTTAAAGAGAAAAAAAAGTAAAAAGAGCTTGTTTTTATTTATGAAGCATGCATGTCACAAGTATTGTTTTGTATGATTGAAGTATGAAATAAGTCTGCTGGTGAAAAAGAAAGTAAAACAATTTTAAGATTATTAATAAGAAGTAATGATACTTTATATGTCGTGATTGGTTAAAAATTAATTCACAAACAATAATAATAATCATAAATACCCACGTAAAATAATCATATGACACTTAAAATAATGTAAAAAATATTATAAAAAAATATTATCAAATATCATTATTTTAATAAAAATTGATTGACATGTCCATAAAAAAACATGGTATGTTTTAATTATATTCAATTACATTTTTATCATGAAGTTTCGCGTGATTTAGTCTTTCAGTTTAAGAAACAAAAACATGTTTTAAGTTTATATTAAAGTAAAATCCAGATGCACCATAAATTCAGAATATAAAAAGTATAAGTCTTTTAATTATTAAAAATAAGTAATTTTTGTATATTGTTTTGAACTTTCAAAATTTAAAATGATATCAACGACTTTAATTTTCAATAATGCTTACTTTCAGTTTAAATTTTAATTAGTTTATACATGTACATTTATTGTTATAAAAGAAATCATAAATGCTTTATTAAGATAAAAATAATTACATTTATTGATTTCTACGTTACCATCATCATCTCAAATGAAGAAAAACGTACGCAGTGGAGAAAAACGTTAATTTCAAATTCAAATCTCTCTGGGTTTTTTTTTTGTTTGTTATTTAAAACATAAACAAATGTGAGTCAGTCAGTGAATAGAAACACTTAACTTATTAGTTGGTGGTCCTTCTACTTTAAGCAAAAATCACTAATAAAGACCCCAAATTCATATTCAAAAATCATCAAACTCACACTTGATTTGATTTCGCAGTTGAAACTATGATTAATGATGATATAATAATTCAACTGAATTTGAAGCTAATAATAAGCCTTTCAAATATAAAAAATGAGAGAAATCCTGAACCAAATAACAAGTAAAGTTTTTGTGAGAGTGAAAAGAAACAGAAGATTACAGAAAGATGATGAAATCACTTACTCTCTGGCACATCAAAATCAATGCTGATCTTGGTTTAAATTAAACCAACCTACCAGCTCGTCTTTTGATAGGATGAGATACAAATTTTTGACTTGTTGGTTAAAACAAGTTGAGTTTACTCGTTTTGTTATTCCTACTAAACTTATTACATGTTTAATCACTTACAAGTTTAATAAAATCTAAGAAAGGTAGGAAGTTGTTGTTTGTAAAACCATTATAATCATATATTGTGATTTATAGTAGGAATAACAAAAGACGAGCTGATTGTGTATCACTCTTGTAACGAGGAAAGAGAAGTTTGAACATAACTTTCCAGTTTGTGATGCCAAAATTTTTATAGACTTTTTTAAGATAAGTATTTTTAAATCTTTCAAATCACGTCATCTAATAATATCCATTCTAATAATCTTCTCAGTAACTCCAAGCTATTTCATATCAAATTTATCATTAATTTATCTTTCTTCTCAACCTCGTGCTTACTAGTAATTATTATCATAATATCATCAATATACAATAACAATATTTCCGGAGCAATCTTATCTTATAAACTTTTCAATTTCAAATAAAAGTAAAATTTTAAAAGTTAAAATTATTTTACAACATTCATAATACTTAAATTTTTTTTTGTAATAATTTAAATAAATTTTTAAATTTAGTTAATATTAACGTTTTGTTAAAAAATATTAAATTATTTGATAATAAAAATTAAAAATTTAAATACTGATTTAAATTAATTATTTAAGTGTATTTATTATACATATTTGTGAATCAATTTCTTTTTTGAAATAAATTGGTTGTAATATCTAAATGAAATTATATATATATATATATATAATATATAATATATATATATATATGTTAAGAGTAATCAATATTTTAAAATTGAATAAATATTTTTTGTTTTGATTTAATTACATTTGCACAGTTTGTTTTGTTAAAAAATTAAAGTTGCTATAAAATGTGAAATAAATAATATATTAATTAAAATTTTACTAACTTATTAAATATTATAATATTTCAATGAGTTAATTATGTAACATATAAAATATTATATTAATTTGAGTTGCGATCCTATTGTTAATAAAATAACATGTTACAGTTATCTTTTATTTGTTTGTAATATTTTATTTTTGAACAATATTATTTTATTTAAAATAATAACATATTTTAAATTGTTTAATGGTATTGTAAAGCTAAGTTGTAACTTTAATTAATTATTTAAGTTAATATTGTAAATATGCATTATTTAAATGCATTAGAATTTTTATTTTAAAATCATTTAAATTTAAATTGAAAATAAATATTAAAAATATTGTTTATTAAAATGATAAGAAAGTTTCTAAATTCAAGTTAGAAAAACCCAATTAATAATATCTACAAAATAGATAAATAAATTTATAAATTTATTAATATTAAATACATATTAATTATTTAATAATTTACATAAAATTTATTAAAAATAATAATTCAAAATAAATTAATTTTCTATGATTTTTATGTTTAAAAAAAGTAAAAAAGAAAGTTGGAAATTATTTAAGTAAATATTTTGAATAATATGTCATTAGAAAAAAAATTATTGGAAATTATGTTATGTTTAAATAAAACTGTACAATGATTATAAATAGTAAACAATATTATTTGGATAAATATTTAAAAATATCAGTGGAACATGCTACTTTAAAAAAAACACTTGCAAATCTATATAGTTTTTATCCATAAGTAAAAAAAAAAAAGAAAAAAAAGAGCAGAATAAAAGAAGAACAAAATCAACATAAACAACAAAACAATTCTTCCAACCCCTGGTCCTTTTAAATTCTATCATTACATCCAAAGTAACAAGAAATTTAAAGAAAATGAGATTTGATTTTGGAATCACTTCTCTATTTTTCCAAATGAGAATTAAGGAAATGAGATTTCATTTAAGCAAAGAAGTTATATTTCAAAATTTTAAAAGTCAAATTACCAATTTATTTATTTATTGTAATAAAACTACTATTGATTGATCATAAATAATTTTAAGTCTGGTTTCAAAATGGTTATAAAAGTTAACAATTTCATTATGCATGTTAATCTGTATTTTGTAATTAATCTCATTTTAATCAAATATAATTATACTACTTTAATGATTAACTTTACACTTAGCATGTTCTCTTGCATCTATTGCAATTCCTCACTCACTCACCTGCGTGTTCATCAAAACGTTGTCGTTTGAGACGCGGTGTTGATGAGAAATGAGAAAATAGCCGTTGTGACACTTGCGAACCATATAAACCAATCGGGTCGCTACATGGCTTCATAATAAAGTTCAAAAGAAAATTGGACCGTTAGAGAACTAACCGTTACACTTTCCGCTCAACATTACGCACATACACATTCCCTCTCCTTCGTTTCTTTCCTTTCACAGAAGCACCAAATAAAGACGCTCTCTCCCTTTCCCTCTCTCTTATTAATCACTTCTCAAGTTCTCGACGCAAACCCTAATCGGAACGTGAAATGGCGGTGACGGAGGAAACCGGTGGCGCCACCGTGATGGACGAGACCTACGAGTTCTCGGCACCGCGATTCTTTGACTTCATTAAAGGAGAGACTGACGAGGAATCGCTTAAGGCTGAGCTCTGGTTCGACACCGCTCTCTCTTACGCTCCTTCTCGTACGTTCCTGTTCTCTCCTTTTATTTCTCAATTCTTGCTCTACCTTGATCACTCTCTTTAATTCGATAATGATAATGATAATAATTATAATATTGATTAGTTTCTAGGATTTTAGGAATTAGAATTGAGAGAAGATAGGGTTGTCGTCTTTATATCGAGGTTTTTATTCGTAGGTGAGTTTAACGATCGGAAATACTGAAATGAAGAAAATAAATTATTATTATTTTCTTCTTATTGGTTCCTATCATTGTGAAACGCTAAAATGACACAGTATGGTGTGAATGCGAATTT